GACACACGTATTTCTTCTTCAGCAAGTGCTGGTACTTGATGTGATGCTGCGGGAGGAAGGCAGCGCAGGAGAGGGCYGCGGGTCGCGCTTTGTGCGCCGGAGCCACCCGCCGCAGGCAGGCCGCGCTCCAGGCAAGGCGGCAGCGGAGCGAGCCAAGCAGGCGCGGGGCGGGCGCCGCGGGACGAGCCCCCCGCCTACCTGCAGGTATCGCGGGTGGGCCAGCACGGTGCCGCAGCCCTCCATCTCGCAGCGGACGTACTGAATGGGAGGCTTCTTCCTAACGAGGCRGGAAGGAAGCGGGCCCAGATGAGCCGGTGCAGCCGCATGCCGGGTGGCAGGAGGAGGAGCGAGACATTCCCGCATTCCCGTGAGCTCACAGGGCCCCCTCCGCTCTTCCCGGAGCTGGGAACCCTCCCCGCTAGCTCCTCCTGCCGCTCCGAGACGTTACCTTCGACCCCAGAAAGGAGCGGGGGGCTCCGCTTACCTCCTCTTGGGCAGCCGGGGGCTCTTGTCGTCCTTTCTCCTCCTGCCTCGCCTGCAAGAGGGTCACAGAAACACAACCGAGAGGCTTCGTCGCGCAGGGGCCCCGCGGAGCCGGACAGCAGCGGCACGTTATCGTTTAGAGGAAACTACTGCCCGCTTGAAGGGGCACAAGACACACGGGGAGGACGCAGGTGGGGCCAGGACACGTTTTCCTTCGCTGTCGCGGTGGGTTTGAACTAGTCTTGCCTGTGCAGACCCCCCCAACCAGACCCGAGTACCCCACAGTACATCCGGAGCCCCGCCGCGCCGCTGCCCCGTGCTCAGCGCAGGGCCCATCCTGGTCCCGGGGCCGCTGCCGGCACCGCGGCGCTCGCAGCAGAGCGAGGCCTTCCCGGGGCGCRCGGAGCCCTACGGCCGCTCCCAACTCGAGCCACGTCGCCAGGAAGAGGCATTTTACGTGCACACGTAGCACCCCATCCCAGCGGCAGATCACGAAGGCCCGGGGAGACGTTCTCCGTAGGGAAAAAAGGGCCTCGAAGGGCGCAGGCGCCGGCGCTCCGCTGCGAGCCGCGGCGCTCCCGGAGCTGCCGGAGCCCCCGGGCCAGCAGAGGGAGCCCCGCTGGCTGCCGCTCCTCAGGAAAACCAGCACAAAAGCCGCTTTTCCGGCCATCCCGAAGGGAGCCTGGGGCAGAGCCCGGCACAGCCTCGGCGGGCGGCTCAAGCGACAAGGAGCCAGAGTTTTGGGGCGCTCCGGGGGGACAAACCTCTGCCCTGGGGCTCCTCGATCCGATCCAGCCCTTGCAGCTGCAGCCCTTTTACCAAAGCTCCCGCGAGCAGCTCCCGCTGGGAGGCCTTTCCCGGGGTGCCAGAGCGCGGGACACGGCAGCTCCGGCCAAACAAACCCCCCGGTCCCTCCCAGCCCTGGATGAGGCGCAGCGCTCGGAACGGGAGGTCTCCCCGCTCGCCCTTCAGGCCCGGCAGGACACGGACAAACGTCCCCCCGCTTACRGGGGCGAGGGAAACACGCACGCGTGTGCCGGGGGGTACACTCACTTCCGGGGCGGCTCCTCGTCTTCCTGGAACTCGCTCTCCTCCTTCACCTCCACCTTAATCTCCTTCTGCTTCTCCTTCTCCTCCTTGCCCTTGGCACCTTTCCGCCTCTGCTTGGGAGCTTCCCTGCGTGGCACCGTGGCAGGCGGTGGGATTGCCAGGCCACCCTGAGCCCCCCAGCCCCCCGGGACCCCCGYGGGGCGCGGAGCCGGCCGCCCCACGTCACCCCCTAACGCCCGGCGCGCGCCGCCCCACACCTACTTTTCTAAGTGGGGCTTGTAGGTCTCATCTCGGGGGTCGTCTTTGAAGGGAACTTCTTCCTCGCTGACGAGCATCTCGTCGTCGTCGTCATCGCTGCCAGGAGCGGGGGAGCGGAGGCGAGGTGACGGCCACGTCCTCCCACGGGGCCACGTCCCCCAAGGGGGCCAGCCGCGTGACAGCCGCCGCCGCAGCCCCCCGGCACCGAGGGCTTCCTACCTGACTCCAGCGGGAGACTGGTGCTGCTCCGTGACCTCTGCAAGGGAAAGGCACGGCTGGGCTGGGGCCGCGCGGCTCCCCCGCCGCGCTGCGGGCCCCGCGCCCGTGCCGTACCGTACTCCAGCTGCTCCGTGTCCGGCTCGGACTTGCACACGAGCTGCAGGGAGGCGGGCCTGGCTCGGGCGGCGCGCGGGCTCTCGGCGGGGCGCTGCCGGGCGGCGGCGCGGCTGCTGCGCCAGCTGCGCCCGGGCGCGCCCGCGCCGGCCGCCTCCTCCGGCTGCTCTTCCTTGGGAGCTGCAACGTCACGAGCAACGGCGGCGGTGAGGGCGGCGGCGCGCGGACCCCACTCCGGCACCGCCGCCCCCGGCCATCCCGGGACGGCTCCCGCTGCCCCAGGGGACGAGCTCCTACAAGGACCAGCTCCTGTTTTCCTAATAAAGCCTCGGGAGACGACTCCCTCGCTGAACCGAGTGCCYTGCAATGCTCCGTAAATCCCGCCGTGCCGAGGAAACCGATGCCAATGCGGGCATCATTCCCGTCGCCAATTCCTCGGCCAGCACCACGGCTTCCGCGGATCCCAACGGCAACCACCAGCTCCTGGCATCATCAAACCCAACCATGAACCTTCTCGGGCCTTCCAGGTGCTGAATCCAAGCGCCAAAAGAGGTCCCGGGACCATTSCCCAGGAATTTCCAGCGCCTACCGTCCTGCCAGCGCTGGCACCTGCCACCTCTCTGGGAAGGACCTCATTTCCCTGGAAGGCCGGACACGAGGCCGGCTTCCCAGCGACGCTCCAAGGCTAAACCCAAGGAGACCTTCCCGGGCAGCCTTTGCGGCCAGGGACACCCCGAAAGTCGGCAGCTTTGCTCCCGTCCCCAAGGCCGGTGCTCCACAGGCCCTTCCCCGCRGTTCCCTCTCCCTCGGGACGCGTCCAGCAGATCCGCTGCTTCCCGACGCCCCGTGCACCAAGGGCCGCCGGAGACGCGTGCCCGGCAGCCCGGCCAGGGCCGCGGCAGAGCCGGAGCGCAGCCAGCGGCCGCCTGGGCAAAGGTCGCGGCGGCGCCGGGCGGAGCGGCCGCGGGAGCAACGGGCGGCACCGCGGCGCTCCCGGAGCGACGCTGCTTTCCAGCTGCATTGCCACGAGGAAGCGGCTTGCCGCGGCCCAATATTCCTCTATTTCRGCATGCCCCCGGCGAGCACCGCCCGGGCCAGTCCCCATATCCCTTCCCTACCTCACAATATGGCAAAGCGAAGCTTCCCRGCTTTTTTCTTTCCTTGCAAACGTGAAATTTCCGCAGCCTGGGTGTATGAAACGCGGGGAGGCCGCTTGCTAACCGGGCCCAGGAGCCCGGTTGGGAACGCGCTGCACCCTCCCATGAGGAGCAATCAGTACACGTTACTGAGCTGCTCGGGGCTCTGGTTGGAAGCGCGACGTCGGGAGCCCCTGTGAGCACCCAATGTCCACTTCACTTTTCCAGCTGCGATCCATAAGGACACGATGAGGGGTGCCGTCCTGAACCCGCGTTTCCCACAGACCCRAATGACTCGGGAATCCCTCGGGCCAAGCTTGGAACTGGAGTCGCTCCCACGCACGGCACCGTGGGAAGCTGCATCCGAGGGGCTCGGAGCCACTTCCCGAGCCCGACACACGTGTCAGTGACAGTCCCACCTGGAGAAGGGTCTGGCAACGGAGCGCAGGGAAGAGCCGCAAATCCCAGCTCGGAGCTCGAGCCAGGGAAGGGCAGCCCGAACCCAACGTGCCCTGGGCAGGTGGACGCTCCTGGATTTTCCTCCTCAAGCCCAAGCTCCGGCCGCGCAAGGCAGGACTGCTGAAACACTTTATCCCAACAGGGCTGCAGGAAGGGAAGCTGTTCCTGGGCATCCCATACATTTGCTGCGCCCGGAAAGGCGCCTTTAGCGGCCCCTTTCCACGTCTTTCCAYGCGGGCAACATTCCCACATAACGTGTACGTTAAAGGGGGGCAGGACCCCAAACACCCAACCACAGCAGCCGGTCCTTGGGATAAAGCAGCCCGTTTGCCAGCGGGGTGCTGTTCCCGTGAACGCCGCCCCGCTCCGCTGCCGGGCTAAGGATGGACAAACGGATCCGCGCCCGCTCCGAGCGAAGCCGCCGGAGTGGAGAGGRGCTCGGGAGGGACAGGCGCCGAAGCGGAAAGGGGGATGACGGGAAACGCGGATCGCGCGCCGGATCCCGACCGGATCCCGACCACCAGCACGTGGAGCCCGGCGCCGTTCAGGCCCCTTCGGAAGTTGCCCCGGGACAAGCCGGGGGGACTTCCCGGAGCGGTGTCTCCCGCTTCCCGGAAGGGGTGCCGGGGGCGCCGCGCGGCTCTCACCTTTGGCGGCAGCTTTATCCGGGCACCTGCGGGGGGAGAGGGCGGCCGTGAGCGCGGCGCGGGGTCCCGGTGCGGGCCCCGCCGGGGGTCCCGGTGCGGGGTCCCGCCGGGGGTCCCGGTGCGGGGCACTCAC